AGGGGGGAAACGCTGTCCTGTTCCCAGCCGGACGCTCCCGGACGCCCAAAAACCATTAGTTTTGTACAGCTGTTAATCGTCATTGGCGTTGGGAGCCGCACGTCTCTGGCTTGAAACGCACGCGCTGGAACAAGAAATCGTCAACAGACCATGGTTTCAGACACTCCGGGAGCGTCCGGCTGGGGAAGGGCAGAGAGGGAGGAGAAGGAGGAGGAGGAGGGCAGAGAGGGAGGAGAAGGAGGAGGAGGAGGAGGAGGAGGAGAAGGAGAAGGCCTCGCGCTCGGAAGCCGCCGACGCCAAAACTCGCAGCATCGTCCAGGGAGGGGCGACCATGTTGTTCAAGAACCTCTTGAGGTGCGCGACCGCCAAGTGCAGCGTGAAGCACCCGAACATATGGGCCAGCTCGTCCTCGACGACAACGGCGTCCTCGGACACGCCCTTGACGAGGTTGTGCGCCTCCAAGAAGCCGCACTCGTGGAGGGCGCCCCTGTTCTGCGTGACGGACAGGATGTCGCGCACCATGGCCATGAACTTCCCGTCAACCATACCGGCAGCCCACTTGGAGCCGTCGGTCGCGCTGCGGATGGCAACGTTGGACTCGCCGTGTACCGCGTCCGTGTACGTCCCCACGGTCGAGACCATGGTGAGAATGCGCCGATGCACGTCATCCATCAGCGTCAGCAACGCGATGACAACCGCGTTCTGGGCGCAACTCTTGATGGTGCGAGCGTCTGCCTGAATAGCCTTCGTGCTCTTGAGGTTGGCGGCCACGTCAGCGCCAGACGTCTTGATCACGACCTGTTCCTTCAAGGCTTTGTTGTGGAGAAAGTCGCACTCGAGGGCCACCAGCTGCACGATCCACAAAGAGCAATGCCAATGCTTTGTCAACGTACGACACTCCCGCAAGACAGCCATGAAGCGGTTCGTCGAGGATTTGTAGTGCTTCTTCCTGAAGATGCCGAAGTCATGGCAAAGCCACTTCCAAAGAGCGTCATCAGCAGTCTCGTTGTCTCCGCGCGGTAGCTCGCCGACCTCCCTGTGCATGTGTTTCGCCAACTCCTGGAACGTAGGACAGCGGTCGGGGGAGAACTTGGTGAAGACCGCATGCGACGCTGCCATCATCTGGTTGTGCCTCTTGTCGCTGTCGTCGGGGCCAGAGGGGAGATTGCAGCATATCATCATCAACGTGAGGAGCGGGTAAAGGCCGCACGCGTTCACTGCCTCGAAGACGCTGCGCTGGAAGTCGTGGCTGAAGTCCCACCACGCGCTGCAGTTTATCTTAACGCCACTCTTGTACAGCAACGCATGCACGGCTGAGAACCCGTCGCCGCCGCGGTCGGCCGAGATCGTGAGGTGCGGCCAGGACTGGAAGTCCTTCCACAGCTCAAGCTCAGGATCCTTGTGAAAACGCTTGAGCCCCATGAATTGCGTCGTGTACTTGACCTGGCGGGGACGGCCTCTTCCTCCTCCTCCTCCTCCTCCACTCCCCCCCCTCCTCTTCCTCCCCCCCCTCCTCTTCCTCCTCCTCCTCCTCCTCCTCCTCCTCCTCCTCCTCCTCCTCCCCCTCCTCCTCCTCCTCCTCCTCCTCCTCCTCCTCCTCCTCCTTTTTTTATTTTCTTTTTTTGTTGAGGATACCTGGTTGTCCATCATGGCGCACCACTTCGCCGCCGACTTCCTGAAGTACTCCTTGGGGCGCCAGGACTCCTGGGGGCCAGAGCTGGCCCTCTGAATCCACGCCCTCTGGCGCTCGACGAACGCCTCCTCGGCCGCCCGCGGGTCCTCCACGACCTTGCAGACGGTGGTCTGCGTGTTGTCGTCGTAGGGGGCGTCGACCTCCAGACGGCCGTCGGAGGGCGCAGGCCGGCCCGCGGGGCGATCGGCCGACAACGGCCGAGGCGCTCGTGGAAACCCGATCTGTGTATACGGGTGGTATACAGCAAAACAATTATTATACACTGTGGAGACGTCAAAACGTAAGGAACAGGCCCCCAGAGTGTATAGAAAAATGAAACAACAAAAATGTTATACACCAAACAGAAATTCCAATCAAACGAAAGTCTTTGACGCGGCCGGGAAACCCTTGGGGCACTGAGGGACCCAGGCCCTAGCTTGTAGGAGCAAGCTATGGGAACCTCCAGTCGGCGACCTCAGCAGGCCGCTCGGGGGCCCAAGAAGGTCACCGACGCAAGCTGTGGGAACCTCCAGTCGGTGACCTTAGGAGGCCTCTTGGGGGCCCCAGAAGGTCACCGACGCAAGCTGTGGGAACCTCCACTCGGTGACCTCAGCAGGCCGCTCGGGGGCCCAAGAAGGTCACCGACGCAAGCTGTGGGAACCTCCAGTCGGTGACCTCAGCAGGCCGCTCGGGGGCCCCAGAAGGTCACCGACGCAAGCTGTGGGAACCTCCAGTCGGTGACCTCAGGAGGCCGCTTGGGGGCCCAAGAGGGTCACCGACGCAAGCTGTGGGAACCTCTGGTCGGTGACCTCAGCAGGCTCCGACATCCAGCGCGTTCCGGATGAGCTCTTCCGGAAAGCGCTGGAGCCCGTCCCCGCAGAGGTCGGCGACGAGAGCCCCAAGAGCCCCAAGAGAGCCCAAAAGCGGGAATACAATCTGATTGTAAGCCCCTTCGGGGGCCCCCCGAAGGAGGAGGAGGAGGAGGAGGAGGTAGCCCAGGGAAAACCAGACCTGGGGAGGGCACACTGCAGCCATGTTCCCAGGGGTCACGATCACGGCGTTGGACAAGTTCAGGCCGTGGATCTCCGCCTTGTCGCAAGCGATGCTGAGGTACTGCGCGTCGCCGATCGCGAGCTTGCAACTGTCCATGTACCTGACAAGGCTGACGTCGATGTCGTGGTAACTGCTGGATGCGTCGGCGAACTCGTCGAGCGAGAAGAAGAAGTCGTCGGACTGGCCATCGTCGCCCAACTTCTGCGAGAGGACGACCCGCTTCTCGATCATGGTACCCAGTTGGCATACCAGCTGAGAAAGCAGCCCGCGGGGCTTGCACTTGGCCGAGGCGTTGAAGACCCACCTGAACAAGTCCCACATGTGAGGGACCTCGCCGCACTCTAAGCACAGCGACGACCACTTCGAAGCTGCCGACGACCTCCGAGAACCAACAGCGGCCACCTGCAGCGGAGCAAGATCGATTCTGCCGTCCAAACCGATCTTAAGTTGAACGGACCCGCTCCAGTCGTTGAAAGGCCATTGAATCACCCAATCAAAATCGAGCTTGACGTTGATAATGCGCTGGTCGTCGGTCAAGGCGGATAGCGAGTTGACGAGGCCGTGGGCGATCTGAGAACAGTGGTCGCGGTTGTCGGGGTGTTCGAGGCCACCGAATCGAGGGCAGTCTCTGCATAGCCTGCGGAGGGGGGGGAGAAGGAGGACGAGGAGGAGGAGGAGGATGAGGAGGAGGGGAGGAGGAGGAGGAGGAGGAGGAGGAGAAGGAGGAGGAGGGAGGAGGCCTCCCGAGAATGCATATAAGTGCTGACCCATTGGCTGATGGACACGGTAGGATGTGGTCGTCGCTGTTCAGGGCCGCATCGACCTCCATCCCTTGCGGGCTGAAGAGGAACGTCTCTGAAAACCCCATTGTTTCCAATGACGACATCCAGGAAGGAACCTTGTTGAAAGTCCATTTGCTGGAGTACCCTTTGTATGACGTCAAGTGCAGTCCGGTATACAAGTCGCGTAGTGCAAAGAATACTCGGTGCCCTTGTCGAGACCTCTGGACTACGTAGATCACAATTTTGAAATCGTGCCCATGCCCGTACTTCCAAGATGATCTACCTGTCTTGTAGCGTCTGAGCGCGTCGGTCAAGCACGATATACCCCCAGATGGTCTGTCTCTGACGAAGTACCGACCGCCCGCCTGCGAGCACAACAGCACTTTATCCAAGAACTCCTCAAGGACAACGTAGTCCCCCTGATCCGAGATAGCGCTCCCGAACCCGAAGTCGTCAAAGATGAGTTCCCAAGGCCCCGCTGACGGCAGACGCTTGAACTCGGTTGTCTTAGTGTGACAGACGCCCCAAACGCCGTCGATGGTCCCAACTCGCACGTATTCTCGATGAGGCACGTCCTCGTGTGCAGCGGCAACTGCCGCGGCAGGCGCTGCAGCTGGCGCGCCAGCCTCGGCGCCCGCTGCAGCAAGTGCGGGGGCAGGCGCGACTGGGGCGCCGCCTGGCGCTGCGCCGTCGCCCATGCCGACGTCGCCATCCAGCCCGTCGGCCATGGCGGGGCACCTAGCCTTGCTCTCGGGAGCAGCTGGGCGAAGGGCAGGCAAGCGGGATGCCAGTGGGCCGGTTGAGGAGGAGGAGAGTGCCCGACCACAATCTGTCTGTGAGCGGCTGCACGGCGACGCGAACCGACCTTGCTCTTAAGAAGGCGGGGGCTGGCGTAACATATCAGGCATATCTGGACATATAGCGTAGCATTGCATATCGCGGCATTCCTCACCGATACAATACCATGCCACTGGCCTCAGCAGGCCGCTCGGGGGCCCAAGAAGGTCACCGACGCAAGCTGTGGGAACCTCCAGTCGGTGACCTCAGCAGGCCGCTTGGGGGCCCCAGAAGGTCACCGACGCAAGCTGTGGGAACCTCCAGTCGGTGACCTCAGCAGGCCGCTCGGGGGCCCCAGAAGGTCACCGACGCAAGCTGTGGGAACCTCCAGTCGGTGACCTCAGCAGGCCGCTTGGGGGCCCAAGAAGGTCACCGACGCAAGCTGTGGGAACCTCCAGTCGGTGACCTCAGCAGGCCGCTTGGGGGCCCCAGAAGGTCACCGACGCAAGCTGTGGGAACCTCCACTCGGTGACCTTAGGAGGCCGCTTGGGGGGCCCAGAAGGTCACCGACGCAAGCTGTGGGAACCTCCAGTCGGTGACCTCAGCAGCCTCCGACATCCAGCTACTTTTGTGCACTCTTGGGGCGCCCCCGGGGCCCTCTTGGAGCCCTTGTGGGCTCTCCTGGGGCCCTCTTGGAGCTCGCCGTCACCCCTATCGCCATCGTCGGTACCCCTTCCTGCGTGAGGAAAAGACGCCCTGACGTAATAGATGGCGGCTCACTGCGGGCGCTGTCTTCTCTAGGCCGCACGCCCGCCGCCTACTCAGGCTTGTCCTCGGCAGCCGTCAACACCTCGGACTGGCGCTCCTTCTGGCAGATGCGCTTCGCCGACATCTTCTGGCGAGCCTGCTCCACTGCAGCGCGCTTCTTCTGTGCCTTCTGGGACGAGAGGTACCCCGTGCCTGGAGCTCCCGCCGACGACGACGACGATCCAGCCCCCGCCGACGACGCCGCAGGCGATGCCAAAGAATCAGTCTTCTTCCAATCTGGGGTCTTGATCTGGACTTTTTCGAACAAGTCCGTGCACTTGCCAGACCAAGTCTTCGCCGCATGAGGCCCCTCGCCTTCGCCAAACCAGTGGACGATCTCGTGGGAGGAGCCATCCTTCACGAGTTTGGCGTTGATGTCGGACCAGTTCTCCGTGAGCTTCCAACCCTCCCCGACGTCGATGCCCTTCGGGACGACCTTCTTGCAGCCCGTGGGGCGGTGGGTCACGTGGCTGATCTTCTTGGCCCTCCAAGTCAATATGTAGACGCCGATGACACTCCACGAGAGCTTCCCCGTCTCAGCGTCGATACCCTTCCCAGGGCCAACGTCGCGCATGCGATTCCCGCTCTCCTTGACGCGGGCGTCGAACACGCTCGTCAGGACCTCCGTGAAGTCCATCTCCCAGGGGAGCAGCGTTGAGCCGTCGCTGTTGATGAGCATGTTGAACAAGTTGCGGATGCCATTCGTGTCCCAGTCCTTGATCTTGCCAGCGAGCTCGACGTCGATGTCGCTGTGCTTGCCGAGGAAGTCCACTGCATACCCCTCGTCGATCTTGCCGACCGTCCTCGTGGAAGCCAGCTTGCCCTTCGGGGTATCCTTCATCCTGTTGCGCATGCGCTCGACGAAGTCCTCGATGAAGCCGTCTACGCCCTCGATGCACGAAGGGTTGCGCAGCATGCGATCGACGCACCGCATGAAACGCTTGCGCATGGTCGCCTTCTCCTGGGTGTCGAGCTGGTCTTTGCCCTTGTTGATGTTCGGGGCAGCCTTCGCGTACTTACACAGCTCGTCTTTGGGGTAGTCGCCAGGCCTCGAAACCCAGGGGAGGCCATTCTCCGACGACATCGCAGCTGCTAGTTGCCAGATCAGTAGACGTGCGCACAGGCGCACTACACTCTGCCAAATGCAAGACAATACTTGAATGGAAATGGCTACTGATGGTGGATGTAACAATGGGTCGAACGCGCGTCTACGATAGCACCCACAATCCACTAACGAAGCACGCCTCCGCTCGGTGCATCGGCGGCGGAGCCCCCTGAGGCCCCCAAAGACAATGCAAATATTGTGGAACATGTTATCCTAATCCACAAGTCGGCAACGGGGGTCCCCAGGGAGCCCACGGGCACGTTAAGACACGCCACGACGGTGCACCATGGCACCCGGGCGGGCTGAGAGGGAGCCACACGGAGTCTGCGAAACCAAACAGTAACACAAACGCTCAAGATGTGGTGGGCGTCTTAAACCATGTCCTGTGCTGATCGCGTTGTTGTAGACCGCATCTGGCCCCATGTAGGCCCCCTCGGGGCCATCAGGGGAAAGGGGGGGGCCGACGGGGTAAATCCTGTACCGGAACGATGTGCGGGGGTCCGACAGAGTAAATCATGCTCCGGAATGACCCTACCCCCCCCGCCCCCCTTTCGCATTCCCTCAAATTCTTCTCGTGCCAAGCCTCCTCCTCTTCTTCCTCCTCCTCCTCCGTCCTCCTCCTCCTCCTCCTCTCTCCTCCTCCTCCTCCTCCTCCTCCTCCCCCTCCTCCTCCTCCTCCTCCTCCTCCCCCCCCTCGCGGAGGCGGACGTCTGGACCCGCGGCGGCCACCGCCACGCCAAGGTCAGGGGCGTTGCTAGAATGGAGGAGGGGTAAAAAGAGGAAGAGGGAACGAGGGGGAGGAGGAGGCACAGGAGTTTGATTTGTTGGAAGGGTATCACAACAACTGTCGCGCAGCATTTTGTGTAGTTGACTACAAAACGCACTGAAGCTATTCATGGCGACTCTAGGTCATCAGCCCAGACCACTCTACGCCCCCCCCCACCCCCCCCTCCTTTCGTTACGCACAGATGATCCGCCGTTTGGGGGGGGACCCCCCCCCCCCCCAACTACGTGGTGTATGAATGGTCCTCCCTGATAGACATCCGCCTGGACAACCTGGACACGCGCAAACAAGTGTCTCGATCGAGACTTCCTCGACACCGCCTCATGCTAGACATCCGCCTGGGCAACTTGGACACGTGAAAACAAGCCTCTGGTTCGAGACATCCTCAACAAATCCTCATGCTAGACACCCGTCTGGGCAACCTGGAGGCGTGAAACTAAGCGTCTCGCTCGAAACATCCTCAAAACCTGGGCACGTGAAAACAAGCATTTCACCTGAGAGATCCTCTGAATTGAGGTCCCCAGGAGAGCACAATATATAATACAAAACAAGCGTTTCGCTCGAGACATCCTCAACAAATTCTGAAAATCAAGCGTTTCGCTAGGGACATCCTCAAATTTTAATTCGCCGGCCCTCTTCCCACTCGTTATTTATCGCAAAAGAAATTCGCCGGCCCTCTTCCCGTCAAACCCGGGGGGAAACCATCTAAAAGAGAACCCTGGGCTCAAGCCCTTTCCGGGAAAAAACATGATGGACCCACGAACCCGGAAAGGGATAAAGACATGTGCAGCATGGTCACGTTTTCACGATACCCAACTGGGCGACATCTCACGAAACATCCCACGAGACACCCCGCGAAACATCCCACGAGACACCTCACGAAACATTCCACGAGACACCTCACGAAACATTCCACGAGACACCCTTTGAAACATTCCACGAGACACCCCACGAACAGGCAACCACTCAACCAGACACGCCACGAAACATTCCACGGGGGTGCGACTGGGTGTGGTCGTGCTGGTCGTGCTGGGGTTGGTCGTGCTGGGGAGTGGTCGTGCTGGGTGTGGTCGTGCTGGGGTGTGGTCGTGCTGGGGGTGGTCGTGCTGGGGGGGTGGTCGGCTGGGGGTGGTCGTGCTGGGGGGGTGGTCGTGCTGGGGCGTGGTCGTGCCACCCCGCGAAACATCCCACGAGACACCTCACGAAACATTCCACGAGACACCTCACGAAACATTCCACGAGACACCCTTTGAAACATTCCACGAGACACCCCACGAACAGGCAACCACTCAACCAGACACGCCACGAAACATTCCACGGGGGTGCGACTGGGTGTGGTCGTGCTGGGGTGTGGTCGTGCTGGGGTGTGGTCGTGCTGGGGAGTGGTCGTGCTGGGGTGTGGTCGTGCTGGGGGGTGGTCGTGCTGGGGGGTGGTCGTGCTGGGGGGTGTCGTGCTGGGGTGGTCGTGCTGGGGCGTGGTCGTGCTGGGGCGTGGTCGTGCTGGGGCGTGGTCGTGCTGGGGTGTGGTCGTGCTGTGGTGAGGTCGTGCTGGGGTGTGGTCGTGCTGGGGTGTGGTCTTGCTGGGGTAGGGTCGTGCTGGGGTCGGGTCGTGCTGGGGTGTGGTCGTGCTGGGGTATGGTCGTGCTGGGGTGGGGTCGTGCTGGGGTGGGGTCGTGCTGGGGTCTGGTCGTGCTGGGGTGTGGTCGTGCTGGGGTATGGTCGTGCTAGGGTGGGGTCGTGCATTTCGCTCGAGACATCCTGCCAAAATTCCAGGAAATCGTACAAAAACAAACAAATTAGTCGAAACATCATCGAAATTCCTTCGCGCGGGGCGCTTTTCCGCGTCGCGGTCGGCTCTGCAAAACAAGCGTTTCGCTCGAGACATCCTCGGCAAACTCTGCGGAGCAAGCGTTTCGCTCGAGACATCCTCAACACACGAAAAAGTGGCCCGCACCCTGTGATTTATCGATCGGGATTTCAAAAACAAGCGTTTCGCTCGAGACATCCTCAAATTTTAATTCGCCGGCCTCCTTCGACCTCGTTATTTATCAGGGAAAAAATTCGCCGGCCTCCCTCAAGTTGGCACCGGGGGACAGGTTGACCTACTAAAAGAGAACCCTGGGCCCATGCCCTTTCCGGGAACAATCTATAACACAAAACAAGGGTTTCGCTCGAGACATCCTCAACAAATTCTGAAAAACAAGCGTTTCGCTCGAGACATCCTCAAATTTTAATTCGCCGGCCCTACGCGACCTCTTTATTTATCGCAGAAGAAATTCGGCGGCCCTACAGCCGTCAAAACCGGGGGGAAACCAACTAAAAGAGAACCCTGGGCTCAGGCCCTTTCCAGGAAAAACATGATGGACCCACGAACCCGGAAAGGGATATAGACATGTGGAGCATGGACACGTTTTCATGATACCCAACTGGGCAACACCTCACGAAACATCCCACGAGACACCTCACGAAACAGCCCACGAGACACCTCACGAAACATTCCACGAGACACCTCACGAAACATTTCACGAGACACCCCGCGAAACATTCCACGAGACACCCCACGAAACATTCCACGACGACAGGCAACCACTCAACCAAGGCGGTGTGGTCGTGCTGGGGAGTGGTCGTGCTGGGGTGTGGTCGTGCTGGGGGTGGTGCTGGGGGTGGTCGTGCTGGGGGGGTGGTCGTGCTGGGGGGTGGTCGTGCTGGGGCGTGGTCGTGCTGGGGCGTGGTCGTGCTGGGGCGTGGTCGTGCTGGGGCGTGGTCGTGCTGGTCGTGCTGGGGTGTGGTCGTGCTGTGGTAAGGTCGTGCTGGGGTGCGGTCGTGCTGGGGTGTGGTCTTGCTGGGGTGGGGTCGTGCTGGGGTGTGATCGTGCTGGGGTGGGGTCGTGCTGGGGTGTGGTCGTGCTGGGGTGTGGTCGTGCTAGGGTGGGGTCGTGCTGGGGTGGGGTCGTGCTGGGGAGTGGTCGTGCTGGGGTGTGGTCGTGCTGGGGTGTGGTCGTGCTGGGGCGTGGTCGTGCTGGGGTGGGGTCGTGCTGGGGTGGGGTCGTGCTGGGGTGGGTTCGTGCTGGGGTGCTCCGCACCCTGTGATTTATCGATCGGGTCGTGCTGGGGTGTGGTCGTGCTGGGGTGTGGTCGTGCTGGGGTGTGGTCGTGCTGGGGTGTGGTCGTGCTGGGGTGTGGTCGTGCTGGGGTGTGGTCGTGCTGGGGGGTGGTCGTGCGTGGTCGTGCTGGGGGTGGTCGTGCTGGGGCGTGGTCGTGCTGGGGCGTGGTCGTGCTGGGGCGTGGTCGTGCTGGGGCGTGGTCGTGCTGGGGCGTGGTCGTGCTGTGGTGAGTGCTGGGGTAGGGTCGTGCTGGGGTCGGGTCGTGCTGGGGTGTGGTCGTGCTGGGGTATGGTCGTGCTGGGGTGGGGTCGTGCTGGGGTGGGGTCGTGCTGGGGTCTGGTCGTGCTGGGGTGTGGTCGTGCTGGGGTATGGTCGTGCTAGGGTGGGGTCGTGCATTTCGCTCGAGACATCCTGCCAAAATTCCAGGAAATCGTACAAAAACAAACGAATTAGTCGAGACATCATCGAAATTCCTTCGCGCGGGGCGCTTTTCCGCGTCGCGGTCGGCTCTGCAAAACAAGCGTTTCGCTCGAGACATCCTCGGCAAACTCTGCGGAGCAAGCGTTTCGCTCGAGACATCCTCAACACACGAAAAAGTGGCCCGCACCCTGTGATTTATCGATCGGGATTTCAAAAACAAGCGTTTCGCTCGAGACATCCTCAAATTTTAATTCGCCGGCCTCCTTCGACCTCGTTATTTATCAGGGAAAAAATTCGCCGGCCTCCCTCAAGCAGGCACCGGGGGACAGGTTTACCTACTAAAAGAGAACCCTGGGCCCGCGCCCTTTCCGGGAACAAGCGTTTCGCCTGAGACATCCTCAAGTTTTAATCCGCCGGCCTCCTTCGACCTCGATATTTATCAGGGAAAGAATCCGCCGGCCTCCTTCAAGTTGGGCACGGGGACATTGTTTACATACTAAAAGAGAACCCTGGGCCTGCGCCCTTTCCGGGAAAAAAATAAGGGAACCCCTAAGATTGGCATCGTGATGAGAAGGTGCCCAGCACAGGGATAGGGAATCCAGGCTGGTAACCCACTCTTTCGCAACCCAAGCCATCGGCGCGATCCACCCCGACAACTGAGCGACGGCGAGGACGGAAATGATGAGGACGGTCACCAATACGAAGGGGCCAATGTTCTGCGAGAGGCAGATCATGTAGGAGAAAGGGCCCTGTGGCTCGAAGACGCTAAGCAGGGCTATGATCACCTGGAAACAAAACAGCGGAAGCTGAGCAGGTCATTGAAGTGATCTTCCAAGCCACTACGTCGCTATGGTGTGGAGCGCAGGGTAAACGCCGAGCGGCTTCCATAACCGATCTGCCAAACGACCTTCCATGTTTTCTTTTTCCTGCGAACCCACCCTGGCGCTATCCCCCATGAAGTTAACAATGCAATAGTATACTCGATGTTGATCGAGAGCACGTACTTCGGAACATGTTGTATCACGGTGCGGACGTGCAACTGCAATGCGTACAAAATCTCAATATGGTGCTCCTCGGTTCAATTGAACTCGCCGTCCTGCACGACGTAGAACGTCTTTCCCTATCCGGCCTCGGGTGGGAGGGCGCTGGACACCGTCGCACGCCGCCTCTCGTGTATCCTTACCATGCTCCCCTGCTTGAGCACGGCCGCATCCACATCTTTGCTCTGCACCGAGACCCAACCGATCCCCTTTCGGCACGCGCATAATGTCTGGAAGCGCCAGCGAGGTGTCATCCCCCGTGGACCATTTGGACGGGCCGAGCAAGTCTCTGAACTTTCTGGCCACGAAGTCGTGGAGGCCCCGCTCCGACAGCGCCTAGCCACCCTGGTGCATCATCACCCTGTGACTGAGCGTCTCCATCTGCAAGATACTGCTCCGTTGTGCCACGGTCGGAAAGCCCTCATTGGTCAGTGGTGCGTTCAGCCCCGAGTTTGTCATCTGTCCTCTGGCCTTTGGGACGGCTCGTCAACAGGATCACTGCCATAATGCTGAAGACGCAGCCGTTGATTAGAGACTTCTTCCAGCAAGAAAACGAGGAACACAGCGTGATTAGACCGGATACGATCCTGTTTTGCCAGCTGAACAAGAATCATACGTAACTGCAGGTCCAGAAAACGAGATCGTCAAAGACCGCAACCTTGACATCCACTGCATCGTCGAAACTAGTCTGGATGTAGATCTCCCGGAGCGAGGCCCCTTGAACAATAGGATTGAACGACAACGCCGGGAGGTGAACAGCCTTTGAATACACGACGTCGTATGTGGAAGGTGCTACGATCACCATTGTCATCTTGACAAACTGCGCGCCCGCGTTGAACTGGTAATTGGCGGATTCATCTCCAATTCCACCTCGTAGTGATCTGCGGGCCCCGCCCATGACGCTTTTCACCATTCCGCCGCAGCCAGGCGTCCGACGCTGTTCCTCGACTTGTTTTAGACACTTGCACGAAAGCCGCGTGGCTTACTTGGGCGGACGAGGGTGCGTCTAGCACCTCCAGGACAAGCAGTGCTGCAAGTAACGGCTCTTGTCCCTTGCCAATTCGCGGATAATCTCAACTCCAGCAAGCCAATGATCTCCTCGTCGACTGGCATGTCCGCGAGACACACCTCCATATAACCAGGTGCAGCGAAGACTTGTTGTTCCCGTTAACAACTGGAAGCTCGGCCATGTTGTCGTTGAACCTATATCGAGCTCCGTCGGCCTCGATGTCTTTGTCGCTGAAAAGGCGCCATGGACTTCGCCGCAACGACGTCGATGTTGCAGTTGTAGTTGAATTCGAAGATCCTGGTGTTCTTACCGCGTGTGCTCTCGGCTGCCTCCTTGTCGTCGATGCACACTCTGACATGTGGATTCGGAATGTTTATACCAACCTGGACACCCTTGTACCCTCGTTGTGTATGAGGTCCGTCGTCTTCACGATGATGTCTTCGAGGCGCGCCACTGCTCCCAGGCACAGGGCACTCGTAGGCTGGGTGAGATACATCAACCTTTTCTCATGGACCGGCAACGTGTTGCCGAAGTCCCCTTCCAACTTTTCCAGACATGGGCTATCGACGAGTTCATGCTTGCTGACACGTGCCGCCAACATCGCAGAATCTGGATTGTGCTACCAATGGGTATGGTATGCCCTAGGTTCACCACGGGACGTGCGGCCGAGGACCAAGTGAACGCGACGATGCGTGGACGTGTGGCTGCCGTTTACAGTGCCCGACGCTGCATGTTGGCACTCGAAAGGCTGCCACGTTGAGCTTGAGCCAGAATGGTCACGGAAGGAAGAAGAGGATCAGGAGGAGAATGATGAGCGCCCATTGTCTGACAGGGGAAAAAGAGGGCGGTCGCCAAGAGGGGTGAGAAACGCAATGGAGGAGGGAGAGGGAGGAGGATGAGGACAAAGGCAAGGAGCATGATAGGGCCACGATGAGCGCCTCGGCCATCTTTGCCTCTTGGTCCGCCGCCTCCTGCTCGGCCTGGATCCGCTCCTGGCGAGCAGGCAAGACAACCCCCGAGCTCTCGGACAACCCTGTCACATACCCAGTCCCCGGCCAGGCTCATCTTGAGCTCAAGGTCGGTGGTATGTTCGCCCTTCTGGCTTGGCCAGGGAGGCACATGCACCGATTGTAGGCCAAGGGTAGGCATGGCCACGGACGCAGCATCGGAAGTTGGAGTGTGAGATCGAAGTGACACGGAGACCCTTGTCCCGCGGATGTCCAACGGCTGTCCCGTGGTTGTCCCGCTGTAGTCCCGCGGTTGTACTGTGGTTGTCCCGATGGTCGTCCTGATGGTTGTCCCGATGGTTGTCCCAATGGTTGTCCCGATAATTGTCCCGATGGTTGTCCCGCTAGTTGTCCCGATGGTTGTCCCGATGGCCGCCCTGCCTTGGCCCCATACCTGTCCTGATGGCAGGGTGATGCATCAGTAGCGCGATCGATGAACAGCGTGTGAGGCTGATCTCCGCCACCGTGCCCCGAGGCACAAAATGGAGTGTCAACAGGTCCTCTTGAGTTATCTTGACTACCTACCAGACAACCCCAACCCAACCCGAAGACCCGAATTTCGGGTTGGGGGGGGAAGGGTTCCACACGTGTTTTTTTCGATGCTTCCCGACCCCCCACTGGAAATCGAGGGTAAATCTGAGCCGTCGGGTTGGGTTGGGGTGGTTTGGTGGGTGGAGTTGTCTGTACTGGGTTCCGAAACGATTCATCAAGGGGCCCACAGACCGCAGCTCCGGGCGCCCTCGGCCGCTCCCTGGCGCTCTCGCGCCCTCTTGGGGGGTCCCCCCGCAGCGGTTCGAGAGGCCACGGGCGCACTGCTTTGGGACACGCCCTCTTCCTGGTGCTCCTCTTCCTCCTCCTCCTCCTCCTCCTCCTGACCCTCCCCCTCCTCCCCCTCCCTCTCCTCCTCCTCCTTGGACCCTCTGTGGCGCCTTTTGGGCCGTCTCGGAGGCCCTGGGGAGCGGTTCAGGAGGCCAACGCTGTGGAAGCCCAAAAATCGTAGGTGCTGGAAATGCACGAGTTTCCTGTTGGGAAAGGGATTCTTGTGGCTTCTCGGGGCCCTCTGGGGGGGGCCTGATATGGGGCCCTATTTGGGCGTCCTGGGCGGCTGTTGGCTCTGCTTGAGGCCATCTTGGCGGAGCGCTCGCAGGGCGTCCGGGGCGGTCTCGAGCAAGTCCCGACGGTATCTGGAGCCGTCTGCGAACGCTCAGGGTCCCGCCCGGGATCCCTTGGGCCACCCAGGGCCCCCAATGCAACGCGGTGGCCGTGACTCTGGGACCGCCCCGGCCTACACCAATGTACTTCTGTATTTAGTTGTTTCTCTCTCTCTCTCTCTATATATGTGTGTGTATGTGTGTAACTGTGTGTATGCAAGCATGCAAGCATGCATGCTTGTATGCACGTACGTATATACATACGAATGTATGTATGCATGTAGGTATGCATGTGTGCATGCATGCATGTATGTGTTCATGTATGCATACAGGTGTGTATGTAATCGTATGCAGGCATGGGGTTGCAGGTATGTGTGTGTGCATGCATGTATGCAAGTGTGTATGTGTATGTGTGTATGTCTGCGTGGACACATGTATGTAGGCATGTACATATGGATGTTCGTATGTGTGTTTCTGTATGTGTGCATGCACGCATGTATGTATGTATATATATATGTATGTTTGTGTGTATGTACGTATGTACGTATGTGTGTGCGTGTGTAGGTATGTGTGTATGTATGTATGAGTGTATGAGTATATGTATGTGTGGCTGTAGTATGTGTGTGCGCATGCGTGTATGTATGTAGATGTGTACATCGGAGGTTGGGGGGTGAGATCGAAGTGGAACGGAGAGCCCCACTATTGGGAAATCGATTTCGGTTTCGTGTTCGTGCGTGCCGTGCGGGCGAGGCGAAGCTGCGTAAGCGGGCGAGAGAAAGTCTCCTGTGGCGAGGCGCGGCCGGACCAAATGATTCCCTTCCAGGCGGCCTGGGCCCCGCGGTGTCCCGCCGGTGTCCCGCTGGTGTCCCGTGTGGCTGAGGCGCGGCCGGACCAAATGATTCCCTTCCGGGCGGCCGGGGCCCCGCGGTGTCCCGCCAGTGTCCCGCGGTGTCCCGCGGTGTCCCGCGGTGTCCTGCGGTGTCCCACGGTGTCCCGCCAGTGTCCCGCGAGGATCATGATGAGATGATGATGATGATGATGATGATGATGATGATGATGATGAGATGATGATGATGGTGTCCCGATGAAGATGATGATGATGTTGATGATGGTGTCGATGATGATGATAGTGTCCCGATGATGAGGATGATGATGCTCATGATGGTTATGTTGATGATGATGATGACGACGGTGCCCCGATGATGATGATGATGATGATGATGATGATTCCGATGATGTTGGTGATGATGATGTTGATGGAAATGGTGTCTCGGCGATAATGATGTTGATGATGATGTTGATGATGATTATGGTGTCCCGATGATGATGCTGATGATGATGATGATGATGGTGATGATGATGATGGTGATGCTGATGGTGCCCCGATGATGATACTAATGAGAATGACGATGTTGATGATGATGTTGCTCATGATGATGTTGGTGCCCCAATGATGATGATGTTGATGATGATGATGTCGATGATGAGGATGCGATGATCATGATGATGGTGTCCCGAGGATGATGACGAGGTTGATGATAATGTTGATGATGAGAACGATGGTGATCATGATGGTGTCCCGATTATGATGATGATTCTGATGATGCTGCTGATGATGATGACGATGACTGTGTCCCGATGATGATGATGATGTTGATGATGAGATGATGATGATGTGATGATGATGATGATGTTGTCCCGATGATGATCTGACGTTGATGATGATGTTTATGATGATGATGATGATGATGATGATGATGATGACGGTGCCCTCATGATGATGACGATGTTGGTGATGATGTTGATGTTGATGATGTTGATGATGATGATGATGATGACGTTGATTGTGAGAGCGATTGTGATATCGATAATGAGATCGATATTGAGACCGAATGTGAGATCGATTGTGTGATCGATTGTGAGATCGATTGTGAGATCAATTGTGAGATCGATCGAATGAGATAGATCGAGTGAGATCGATTGTGAGATCGATCGAGTGAGATCGATCGAGCGAGACCCATAGTGAGATCGATACTGAGATCGATGGTGAGACCGATCGAGTGAGACGTTGGTTTCCCCCCCCCCCCCCGAACCTCCTTATCACCCGAAGGGTGGTCGTATAGGTATATGCATGCATGTATGCACGTACGTATGCACGTACGTATGTACGTACGTGTGTACGTGTGTATGCATGTGTGTATGTAGGTATGTATGTGTGTATGTGTATATTCGTGTATGCATGCATGCATGCATGTATGCATGCATACATGTATGCATGCATACATGTATGCATGCATACATGTATTTGTGTGTATAGCTGGACGTCTGTAAGTATATACGTATGTATGTATGTGTGTAGGTCGATTGGTATGTATGTGTATACATGAATGCGAATAAGTATGCATGTATGTGTGTATGTATGCATGGTTGTATGTATATGTGTACATGTATGTATGCATGTATGCGTGTATGCATGACTGTGTGTACATACAGGTGGTTACACATATGTACGAATGTATGTACGCAATTACGTATTATGCATGTATGCATGTGTTGCATCTTTATCCGCCGGCCCCCTTGTGGGGCCACCAGGCTGTAGGACGAAGATCCGCAGATTCCTGAGCCAGTTTCAGCTTCCAGCTTCCACTGTAGTTCTGCTTCTTACTGCTTACTGTTCTTTGTTGACTTCTTGCTGCTTACTGTTCCTTCTTGATGGACCGCGCGAGGGGGGAGGCCCAAAACGGGCATGTGTACCACGCCCTGAGCGTGTTGTCTGAATTGCTGGGGTGGGAAAAATTGACACCCCTCACGCAGATCGGCGGGGTCAGGGTCCAGAAGCACAGTGGATTTGCCACATTTCTGAAATTCGCTTGCACCCCTCATGCAGATCGGCGGGGTCAGGGTCCAAAAATATATGAGATGTGCCACATTTCGGAAATTCGCTGGCACCCCTCACGCAGATCGGCGGGGTCAGGGTCATAAAATGCATGGGATGTGTTCGATGGCACCCCTCACGCAGATCGGCGGGGTCAGGGTCCGAAAACCCAAGGGATTCTCAACACTTCTGAAATTCGGTGGCACCCCTCATGCAGATCCGTAGGGTCAGGGTCCAAAAACACAAGGGACTTGCCACATTTCTGAAATTCGGTGGCACCCGTGACGCAGATCCGTAGGGTCAGGGTCGAAAAACAAACAGGTCCCGACACTGCTTCACGGCGGCGCCCAGACCTTATGATTTAGCTCTTGCATCTCTCATTATCCGAGAGAGGGGGGGCCGGCGGCAAGGGGCGAAGCCCTTACGGTATACATAACGCAAACAATCAATCCAACAACAGCGATACGTGCTGCCCCTCCATGTCTCAACACCCCTACTATTCAAGTATATCCTCGCACGTGCCAACGCCAAGACACAGACACACGCACGCTCAACTCGAGCACAGGGACGAACGATTAACTATCATGCCTGATGGGGACTGCATGACCAATGATCTCACGCCCCGACTCTCCTAGGCGTATGTCTGAACGCCGCTGTCTGCACAGCTGCACCAACAATGTCATGACGGGTCAACCGAAACACCACTGCACAAACCAACAAAATGGCAATCGAATGTGTGCACGACTGCGTCCACATGTCCACGCCAAAAAAGTTGGAGGGACGTGTGGCCAGACTGGCGGGCGAGAATACCAGATGCAGTCGGGAGCTTGTGCTGAGCGTGTCACCGCGGCGGCCCCTGCGACATGCAGTGCCCTGCAAGCGGACAGCGTGTCGCTCCGCTCCGCGGGGCGGGAGACTGGGACAAGCCCGGGGCGTGGAAGTCTCGCCGAAGCGCGGCGGACCAGAACCGGCGGCGCAGCCACGCGAAGCCAGAGCTCCTCACCGCAGGTGGGAGCAGCGCGGCGTCCTCTTCGGCCTTCTTGCGCGACTCCTCCTCCCGCCTCGCCTTCTCCTCCGCCTCGGCCTCGGCCTTCGCCTGATCCTCGGTGGCCGTGCTCGGAGGGTGGCCAACCAAAACACACAAAAGCACACAAAAACACACACACAGCCTGTGGGAACAAAAACACACACACAGCCTGCGTGTTGTGTTTGTTTCCCCTGTGTGTTTGTGTGTGTGTTGTTTTTTTTTTCCCACGGCCCATCGCCCAGCAACCGAGGCGAGAGCAGTGGAGGGGAAGGACCGGCGGCGCGCGCGCCCAAGGGGGGTGGGAAAGCACAACGGGCGCTGGCCATCGCTCGGGCGTCCACTCCCTGTGCTTTTTCTCGGTTCCGTGCGTGGCTTTTTCGCCAAATGATCAAGGATGCTCCTCGATGGTCCTCGCCGAAGGAAAAATGCACACGTCCGAAAGATGCCAAGGTTCCTGTCAGCACCTCTTGCTCCTCTGATGCAGGGGCGACCAGGACGGGATCGGGCCGTCCATGACTCCACCGCGCACGATCTCCTTCAAGCGCAAGCGCTCCACCTGCAGCTGACTGACATGGGCTACTCGGCACAGGGCGACGAGATCAAGGATGCTCCTCGATGGTCCTCGCGGAAGGAAAAATGCACACGTCCGAGCAATGCCAAGGGCGTACCACTCCGCTCTCCGCCCGTGCGAGCCCCCTTCGCCCCACCCACGATGCGTGCGGCCGGCTTTTGGCGGCGAGCAGAAGGCCTTCGGTAGGACGGCTTCTTAGAAGGAGGCTGCTTCTTAGAAGGCTTCTTAGAAGGAGGCTGCTTAGAAGGCTTCTTAGGGGGAGGGGGGAAGGCTTCTTAGAAGCAGGCTGCCTCTTAGAAGGCGCCGGCCTTCCATCTACAGAGAAGGCCCGCACCTTCTAGGAAGCAGGGGTGCTTCTAATAATTAAACCTTCCCCCCTCCCCCTACCCCCCTCTGCGCGCCGCCAAAGCTTGGGGGTGAGCAGAAGGGACCTGGCCTTCGGTAGGACGGTAATGATGCCATGATGCGCTTGGCCCAGGATGCGGTCGGCGTTGGAAAGATCGGGTGCAACATCGATCTCCGAAGAGCACCCTGTCCCTGTGGGGCGATCCCCCCGCGATGGCCTCTTCTTGCATGCGATCCCCCTTGCCAGGGCTTCTCCGGTGCACGCTATCTCCAAGGTGGAGGATCTCCACCTCCTCCTCATCGTCCTCCTCCTCCTCGTCGTCCTCCTCCCCCTCCTCCTCCTCCTCCTCCTCCTCCTCCTCCTCCTCCTCCTCCTCCTCCTCCTCCTCCTCCTCCTCCCCCTCCTCCCTCTCCTCTTCCTCCTTTCCCTCCATCTCCACGCGGGCCCCCCTGGCGAGCCCCGATTTGCCCCTCGGGGGGTTTTCGGAGCTAAGACTTCTAGAGGCTCCCGGGGGGCGGCCCTGCCCGAGGCGGAGCTCCGCCGAGCGGGGGAGGTAGCGGGCGGAGGAGCCAAATGGGGCATCGAGAGGAGGAGGAGGAGGAGGAGGAGGAGGAGGAGGAGGAGGAGGAGGGAGGAGATGGAGGAGATGAGGAGGAGGAGGAGGAGGAGGAGGAGGAGGAGGAGGAGGAGGAGATGGGAAGATGGAGGAGGAGGAGGAGGAGGAGGAGGAGGAGGAGACGGAGGAGGAGGAGGAGGAGATGGAGGAGGAGGAGGAGGAGGAGAGGAGAGAAGGTGGAGGAGGGAGGAGGAGGAGGAGGAGAGGAGGAGGAGGAGGAGGAGGAGGAGGAGATGGAGGAGGAGGAGGAGGTGGAGGAGGAGGAGGAGGAGGAGGAGGGCTGAAGTGGGCGATCGCGTGTCACGAGCTGGCCGGCGGCGCCACATCGCACGCTGTCTTTCCACCGCCAAAAGCGCGCGTGCGCTCCAGGAGCTGCGGAGCACCTTGCGGTCCTCGCTCTTCCCGGGGCCCGTGCGGAACCTCCGCCTCCTCTTTCTCCTTCTCCTCCTCCTCCTCCTCCTCCTCCTCCTCCTCCTCCTGCTCCTCCTCCACATCGCACGCTGTCTTTCCACCGCCAAGCGCGCGTGCGTTCCAGGAGCTGCGGGACACCTTGCGGTCCTCGCTCTCTGGGGCCCGTGCGGAAGAGTGTGTCGTCTCGGGAGTGATGGCAAGTCTTCCAAGCCTTGGAACGCGTTGCTGGCCATCGCTCGGACGTCCATTCCCTGTGTTGTTCTCGGTTCCGTGCGTGGCTTTTTCGCCAAATGATCAAGGATGCTCCTCGATTGTCCTCGCCGAAGGAAAAATGCACACGTCCGAAAGATGCCAAGGTTACTGTCAGCACCTCTTGCTCCTCTGATGCAGGGGCGACCAGGACGGGATCGGGAAGGCCATGACTCCACCGCGCACGATCTCCTTCAAGCGCAAGCGCTCCACCTGCAGCTGACTGACATGGGCTACTCGGCATAGGGCGACGAGATCTACTACATACCCCTGGCCCTGGCCAGGCCCGTCCGAATGGCCCAGGAGCGGTGTAGAGGGCCTTCTGGATATATATATATATATATATATATATATATATATAGAATGTTTATATAAACATGGATGTATACGTACATATGTACATACATACCGGCATACACACACATACTTACACACATCTAAATATATTCGTGCATGCATACGTACATGCATACACACATACAGACAGGCAGGCAAACAGACAGACATACGTACAGGCATACACACCTACATGCATGCATGCATACATACATACATACATGCAGGCAGACATACGTGCACACATTCATAATACAGATCATGCATGCGTGTGTACATACATACAGACATGCATACATAAGTACATACAGACATACACGCATACAGGCATGCATTCACCCATACATATGTATACTTGCATGCGTTCATACATGCATGTCTGTCAGCCTGTCTGCCTTCCTGCATGCATACCTACAGACATGTATACATACATACGTATACACATCCATACCTACAACCAAACATACATATATGCATACATAATTACAAACATGTATGCATACATACATACTTACATAAACACGTACACACTCACGTACACACATAGACACATGCATGCACTTATGCAGACAAGCATACAGATATGCATACATACACACCGCCCCTGGCCATCAGGATGGATCTACCCAGGGCCAATGGATACTTACAGATCTCATCGCCCGCCGGCAACCCTGACATCCGCCGATCTGAATTATCCAATCCGCGGCTTCAGAGGTCCCGACCGCTTCCCTGGGGGAGATCTCGTCCCTGATTCAGTTATGATTGCCGGGGGGGCAGATAACGGGCCCCCAGGGCCGAAATCATGTAGAAAAGCGCCAGGATTGACCCGAGCCCCGAGGCAGCCCTCGGCGAGGCGCAGCTGCTGCAGAGTACCCCGAGGCTGGAAAACCGCCGAGAAGCAACGAAGACGTCCGAAAACCTCCAACTTCGGGTCGCACCCCCGAGCCAGTCCCCGCCGAACGTCGCCCTTCACCTCGTGGACGTTCCCGGCCAGCACCTTCGACCCGCCTGTACACGTGAGCCCTGGCCCTGCAAGTCCGACTTTTGAAAAACAGGCGGGGGCTCAGACTCAGCATGTTGTTTTCAGCCAGGCGAGCCCCTGGGAGGGTGTCCGATACGCCAGCGTCGATTGGCCCCGCAAGGGTACACGGCGGTCGGAAGAAGTAGGCAAAAGCACGAAATAGGAAGGCGGATCAAGTAGATTGGACCCAGGCCCAAGGCCCTCCCATGCAACGACAAAACACTGCAACAGCGCATCGATTATTGAAGTAGTAAGGCGCTCGAAGTAGATTGAGACCTGGGAATCCAGACATACTTAAAGCAGGGGTCCGACCACAAGAAACCTGCCACAAGAAACCCAACCCTGAGACCCCAGGACGTCCGTTGATTTTTGGTCTGGAAGCGTCACGCCTCCCATCGCACAACCATCGAAACCCACGATACCCAGGGCACCCCCTGGAGGCAAGCCCCCTGGAGGCAAGCAGGGTGTTTTTTTTGGCATGGACCTCCACTGTAGATTGAGCTCTGGGAATCCAATCACACCTACTTTCAACGACCGACGTGCACCTTGCGCTTCTGAATACATGATAAGCGTGGGGGGGTACCCCCCCTGACAGGGGTCAACCTCGCCTCGCCGTCGCGCCGCGACGGGGGTCGGAGCGCCTTCGGCGCGCGGTGGTGGCCCGCGACGGGGGCCGATGTGGGGCTGCCGGCGGGGGTGACGCCCCCCCCCCCCGACGCCTAGTAAGGAGCTCGGAGTCTTAATCAGGGGAACAAAAAGTGGCATAAACATGAAAGCTAGGAGGTCCGCGCGGATTTCTCGCATCGGCGCTGGACCCCCCTCCCTGGCGCGCGGAGCGCGCCAGGGGCGGCGCCGGAGGCGCCGCCGGGGAGGGGGCCCCAGCGCCGATCTGAGAAATCCGCGCGGACCTCCGAGTTCTAATGTTTATATTAATTTTTGTTCCCCTAATTAAGTAAAGCGACGCGAAGATCGGGACAAAATCGGATCGGGATAACTCGAAATCTCTGAGAATCGGCGGGTTTGGAGGATGTATTGGGCGCCGCGGCCGCTCCAGAGCGTTCCGGAACGCTCTGGGAGCGCTCCGGAACGCTCTGGAGCGATTTATCCCGATCCTAGCCCTGTTTTACCTTAGGGCTCGCTCGCGGTCGCAGACCTGCCCGGCCGCGCCGCGCCGCCTCTCCTTCCCACCACGGGGGGGCGGGCACGGGGCAGGGCAGGCCGCCTCTCTGGCCGCCAGCGCCTCCGCGGCCTGCTGCCGGTCGGGAGAGGGGGCCGGCGGGGGAAGAGGAGGCGGAGGAGGAGGAGGAGGAGGAGGAGGAGGAGGAGGAGGAGGAGGACGAAGAGTAGGAGGTCGGAGGAGGTCGGAGGAGGAGGTCGGAGGAGGTCGGAGGAAGAGGAGGGGGAGGAGCAGGAGGATCAGGAGGAGGAGCAGGAGCAGGAGGATCAGGAGGAGGAGGAGGAGGAGGCGGAGCAGGAGGAGGACTGGTGCAAACCCAAGCCTCATCAACCATGCTGGAATAAGTCCTCCTTCCAAGCTC